TCTTGAAGGATTTTATTTTTTGAAGTTTTTATGATTTTCCTAACTAGTAGATGTAGTAATATAACTACATCTCGAAGGATTTTATTTTTGAAGTTTTTATCAAAATTTTTTTGCTTTTTACAAAACTGAAAAGGCGATCCATTGGGGGGTAGAGTTTGAAAATGGGACCTTTAGTCCCGGTTCGTGTCTCAAACCGGGACTAAAGGGCTCATTTGAACCGGGACTAATGCCTTTAGCCGCACGAACCGGGACCAATGCTCACATTAGTCCCGGTTCGTGACTGAACCGGGACTAATGGGCTTATCTGGCCTGAACGAAAACCCTGTATTCTACTAGTGAGGAGTGATCTGTGTAGGTGACGTAGTAGGCTTCCCGGGTGGAGACTGCCCACACGGTCGGCGGGAGCACCGGAGCATGTTAAACGACGATGTTGTTGCGATGGTCCTGGAGTCCCTTCCTCCTCTCCTAAGACGAGGAGACAATGATGGCGGTGGCGGTGAGCCGTCCTAAGTCCTAACTACGTGTTGTCAATCCTGTTATGTCGGCGGTGTCTATATACTACATGTCTATATATTTGGGGATCCATATGAAATTATTGTATGAATAAACATGTTTGAAATTAAACTATTTCTACTTAATGAATAGGCAACGCTTCAAAAAGGACTATTTTTGCTCATGTTGCTTAAAGTAAATGCTATTGTGCGAGCTCTATCAAAACCTATAGACGATATCGCGCCCGTTGCCACGGAAATTTGTTGTAACTATTTCACTGAGATTCGACTGTATGAAAAAGTTAGTATTTGGGACAATATAATAATTGAAACTAAAATGCATATAATTGATTGGATAGGATTATTGTTTACTTGCAGAGTATTTATTGAATATGAATAGCAAGCGTGATGCATGTTAAGGTGTGTCCTTTTAGATGCATAATGGCTTGACGAGTTGACATAATTACATGTTGAGAGAATTATAATAAGTGATGATTAACTATCTGGACTAGGTCTATAGGGTGGAGTAGGTTTAGATGGATTTGAAAGCCAAGGTGTTTACTAATACCTTCGTCCTGGCATATGTAGTTTAGGTCAGAGTTTGACCACATATTTAACGAGCAAAATGTTAGTGCATGTCATAAAAAATTATATAATTAAATGTGTATTTGAATATAGTTTACATTGATATTATTTTTTTGTACGTATAACTTATATTTTATTAGTTAAAATGATGATCAAAATATGACCGAAAATATAAGGGGCCAGTAAACTAGGACGAAGGAAGTATATTTTACTTTTGCTTTGAACTGTTGAACACACAAAAAAGAACTTTCGTGTGTTCTCGAATGTGTGAAATTCCAAAGTAAACAAATTGAATTTGTCAGAAGTTTCGGAATCAAATAGCAAATGTTAACAATAACTGTCGAACGTCAGTTAGGAGGGGATCACAGACAAACTATTTTTAATAAGTTTATCTGGTAAGAGATGGCAAATCTTACCATTTTCGTGTAAAATGTTTGTGATATTAAACTAAACTTGCCATATAAAATATGGATTGTGCTACGCGTCGGCTGACGGATCTTTTTGAAAGATTCGCCACCTCGCGAGCCGTGCGATCTGACGCAGTCTAGCGATTGAACGTCTTCTTCTCCTTTGCAACACATATTTTGTTGCAAAAACATTTACAACAGAGGTTGTGTTGTGGATTTTTTTGCAACATAGGTTGTTTTGCTGGATATTTTTGCAACATAGGCCGCATTGTTGAATTTTATTTTGTGTCTTCACTTTTTTTGCAACAATGGTGATGTTGTGAAAAAACTTTTGCAACATAGGCGCATGATTGAAGTCTCTATTATTGCAACAAAGGTCTTCTTGCAGATTTTTTTTGCAAAAAAGATATTGATATAGAAATTTTTTGCAATGATTTTTTTTGCAACAAAGGACTTGTTGTAGAATTTTTTGCGACAAAGGTGATGTTGCAGAATACTTTTTCCCAGCCAAGGAGGCAGACCACGGGGCGGTGGCGTCTCCCAGCGGCAGTTGATGCAAAAGCTCAAGCAGTGCGAGGCGGCGAACTAGTCCACGGTAGAGAAACGCAAGTCGGCGATGCGGGAGGAACGGCTAGGTGCAGAGAAGGGCTGGGGATGAGCAGATCCGGGCGGTGGTGACCATACATAGCTCGGCAGCAGGGGTGGAGTCCGGCGACATGCGAGCTCGATCCCTTCCGTGGAGCTTCAGGCCGGCATCGGTGACCTTACAGGGACGGCTTGGTTAGATGCGGCAGCACGGCGAGTGGAGTGAGAATTAGAGAGAGAGAGAGAGAGAGAGAGAGAGAGAGAGAGAGTCGCAACGGGATACCTCAGTTGCGCCGTAGAGTGGCTCGGGGATGGCGGCGCTCGACGTGGCCACGCTGGTGCTCCGCGGTGGCCATGGCGGCTTTGAGAGGCGGTTTGCCCAAGAGGGAGATGGGAGATGAGAAAGAGAGAAGGAAAGGAAGAAAGAAAGAGTGACGGGGGAGTAGGTCCAGGTTTGCAATTGATCACTTGTTGCGGTCCAAGGAACACAACAAGAGCCTAGTTGTAGAAAATGTGGGCGGAGCGGGTTGCCCTCGTTCATCTGATCAACAGTCGATTAAACGGACATGGAGCCGGCGGACGCTCGCGTGCGATCGGTTGACTGAAGGTAAGATTTTCTCATATTTTGGAAATGCTTCTCATCAGCCGGCCAATATTCACACGCACGTCCGCCTCATCAGTTTTGCACCACGAGTCCCTTGTGGACCCCACCACCATGTCTTTTACAACAGCATGCCTCTACCTCGTATCTTATCCCCATCTCGCTCGACCCTTTCATCTCGAAGAAGCACCCGAAAGGAGATGCCCGTCCACATCATGCGTGCGCCCGTGCTCGCCGCCGGCCCGCTCCAGCAGTCGTCATCCACCGGCAAGGCAGGCCTTCTCCGCCCACTTCCATACCTTCTCTTTTTCTGCACCACCTCACTTGTTGTCAGACAAGCAGCCGGCCGCCCGACGGCGCCGACTGTGCTTGAGCTCCACGCGGCCTAGTCGTCGTTCTAGCGTAGCACAGTGCACGGCTTCTTCGTCGGTGTCATCTATGTCGGTGGAGCCCTCCCTGCTAGATCCATCCCAGTCCTGCCCGACATGTTCGGAAACAAAACTTTTGTTGCAAATAGTCAAAGGTGTTTCTGAAACAAAACTCCTGTTGCAAAGAGAGATGATATGGCAGAGATGGTTTGCAACGCCATCAATGTTTCTGAAACCAAAACTCTTGTTGCAATAGTCATCGATGTGTTTCTGAAACAAAGCTCTTGTTGCAATAGTCATTGTTGTTTCTGAAACAATACTCTTGTTGTAAAGAGGGATTGTACGTTGAGCAACCTAGATCGGACAGCTTGCGAGGTGGTGGATCTTAAAAGAAAAAAAATCACCGACCGATGCGTAGCACGCCCCATAAAAATATGGGAAAAGCTTACCGTCATCCGGCGGATCGTAGTGGCAGCGTCTGCCACCTCCGCTACATGACACGCGTCCAAATGAAGGCTTGCATGTCGTCCTTTATCGAACACGCTTTCGAAACAGAGGCTATGTTTCAGAAACAAATGCGATGTTGTAATCGTTTACGACTGGTCTAGTTTTGCAACAAAGCGAAGCCCAAAAATATTTCTGCAACATGACATATGTTACAAATGTTTTCCGCAACACAATTTCTGTTACAAATATTTTTACAATAGTATCTGTGTTGCAAATATTTCTGCAGCATCACCTATGATCTTTGTTGGAGAAAATATTTCTATAACAAACTCTATTGTAAATAAAATTCTATAGATGTTTCTGCAACACGATCTTTGTTGCGGAAAATATTATATAACAAACTCTGTTGCAAAAAAAAATCTACAAACATTTCTGCAAAATGCTCTTTGTTGCAGAAAATTCTACAACATAATCAATACTGAAAAAGTTAAAATGCCCGTCAGATATTTGATGACATTGGTGCGAGGGGGATTTTTTTGTTTGTGCAACAGGCCTCTTGTTGCCAAGGGAACGAGCGCACAATGCTACGTTTGTTGCAACGGGGCAAGAGCAAAGGTTTTTTTTTTCTATAACAGAAATCTTGTTTCTGAAACACAGGCCTTTTTCAGAAGAAAAAAAACGTTTGGCAGAAGCGCAACACAAGCTTTATTGCAAAGGTTGATGCACGCTCAATAAAAAAAGATCAGAAGGTTGGCTTGCTCACGATCCTACGGCTACTAAGGCGGCATATGTTTTCAAAATATCACCCGGCAGACGCGTAGCTGCTTTATTTGTAAAAATAGCACATGTATTACCATGAAAAAGAGGAAATGCCAACCCTTTCAGTGAACGTTGTTGCGTTCCATTTGCTCAAGGTGGGGACGGCGTGCAGGCGCAGGGGAGAGAAGTGTGCTCCGCAAGCCGTCTGCGGCCTGTCGCTCTGTGCCCCCAGCCCCAGGCACAGAGGTCGTCAGGTGGGACGACGCCACGCCGCCGCTCGCTTCCCGCGCCGGCGCCGCCCCCTCGCCTCCGCTCCAACCGCAGGTACAGCTCCCGCCCCGCCATCTCCTCCGCCCCCAGTCCCCGAGCCCTAGAACCCCCCTTCCGGTCGCACTTGCGCAACTGTCTGCGTCGCTCAGTGGTTCCTTCCCCGTTCATATCGGTTCCGATTTCATTGGTATCTCGATTGGGTCGGCAATGGCGCACCGCGGGCTGGTTGATTAGGAGGGCCAGGGAAGGGTGCTGCCGGCCTTAGTTTCGCCTGATCTACTTTTCAGTCAATCGGAAGAACGAACCCTGGGTTTGATGTAGTACAATGGGAGGAATTTGCCATGACTATCTAAATCATCATTTGTGTTATACCAAAGGGTGTTTAAACGTTTAAACATTGTGTGCTGCAATAGTTGCATTGCTCCAAATGATCAAGCCACACTTAGAACCCTCTAATAGTCTGATGCTTTGGGTGGTACAGCTGAAAATGAAGAAGGCGCTTCCCCTAAAGGGCGGTTCGGCAGGCTTAAGGCATGGAACGAAATCTCCGAAGGAGCTGGAGAGCGTCTTGAAGCAGTATTTTGGGTACTCGGAGTTTCGAGGAAGGCAGCTTGAGGCCATAGAGGCTGTTCTTTCAGGTCCTCACTCTGCCCCTGTTTCCAGATTCATGTTTAACCCCCTGAATACCGATGAGATTAGTACTTCAGATATTTACTTTGTTTAATCTGTCAAACAACAAATTTGCAGGAAGGGATTGCTTCTGTTTGATGCCAACTGGAGGTGGCAAGTCAATGTGCTACCAGATCCCTGCTCTAGTGAAGACAGGCGTTGTTCTTGTTATCTCGCCCTTGATAGGTGAACTGATCCGTCATGTTTCCAAACCTTCAGAAAATCTACTACTTGAAAGAATGTGTGTACATACATTTTGATTTATACTAACTGTTCTTGATTTCTTGTATGTAAAATCTGCTGATCAGCGCTAATGGTAAGTTTTACTATCCCCCTTCTACCTTTCCTCTGTTATTATCCTTAAATCTTGGGATAGCTTTGAACATCATTTGGTCTGCATATTGAATTTACAGGAGAATCAGGTTAGCAGCTTGAAAAGTAAAGGAATTCCAGCTGAATTTCTCTCTTCCACACAAACAACTGCTAACAAAAACAAGGTAAGGGTCTTCAATTACACACTGCAACGTAATTCTCTCGTGAGACATGCTCGGTTATTGCATTGTTTATGGAGTTCCTTTTAGCTGTCCCAATTGACATTTTGACTCTGTATATTCATACGGTAGCCAAGTTGGTGCACAAAATTATGTCATGCCGTATTAATTCCCTGAGAATTGGAATTCATGAACTAGATCATGGTGTCTAGGATCTACTTCCTTTTGACTTTTAAGTTTTATTAAACATGTATGTTCTTTCTTCAGATACATGAAGATCTCGATTCTGGCAATCCTTCTTTAAAATTGTTGTATGTCACTCCTGAGTTAGTTGCAACATCTGGCTTCAAGGCAAAATTAACAAAGCTCCACAACAGGGGTCTTCTTGGTCTTGTTGCTATTGATGAGGTCTAAACTAAGTAACACCTTTGCTCTTTTGGTAACATCCTGTTGTTCTTCGGTCACTTGTAAAGAACACCTGGTGCTTATTTGCCAATTTTCTCCCTCTCCACAGGCTCATTGTATTTCAACTTGGGGCCATGATTTCAGGTACGCATTGGTTTCAGTGTTTGGTCTGAATATTGCCTTTACTCCATTGGCAGTTCTCAGTTTTCATAGTTTCATTGGTAAAATGAGTTGCAGCATTCCTCCTTTTCATGGAATAGCTAATCGGATGTGCTTCAATGAAATGCAGACCTAGCTACCGCAAAATTTCATCATTGAGGAAGCAGTTCCCAGATATCCCGATATTGGCTTTGACTGCGACTGCTGTCCCAAAGTAACACCTTACCCTTAGTTCAGTTCACCTAATGTGTTTTCTCTTTTGATCATTATATTTAGTCTGGTCTCATTTGTCCGGGTTTCATTATTTTTGCACCAGAGTCCAGAAAGATGTGATATCATCATTGTCCTTGCAAAACCCAGTCATTCTTAAAGCTTCCTTTAATCGACCTAATATCTTCTATGAAGGTATTATTCTCGACTTCCTTGATCAATTTAAAGACTAGGGCCTCTGTTTTCCCAGGAATCTCCACTGTTCTTTGCCTTTTCACTTCCCAAGGTCTTTCTTTTGCCCTTTTGCTTGAAATTGTGATTGAGTTGCTTCAGGACTATTTATGTTCTTTAGTTTCTGTGTTATCAGAGGCCAGAACGTATGGCTCTTGTTGTTCATTTACTGCTAAAATCTGGTGTACCTAATTTTTTTGCCCCTACATTCTACTCTATGGCGTGTTGACTGTGAATCATGAACTTATCTTGCAGTTCGTTACAAGGATCTTCTTGATGACGTTTATTCTGATATATCGAATTTACTGAAGTCCAGCGGAAATGTTTGCTCAATCATATATTGCCTTGAACGTGCTGCCTGTGATGATCTGACTATGCATTTGGCACAGCAGGGCATCTCTTCTGCTGGTACGTTAATCTGAAGGGAAAAAAAATGATAAGCCCAAGCCCCTATTAAGACTGTTGTGCAGATATACTTATGATTTTATTTTTGCTCCTTGTCAGCTTATCATGCTGGCCTGAATAGTAAAGTGCGAACTACCGTTCTTGATGACTGGCTTTCATCAAGGACTCAAGTTGTTGTTGCAACTGTAGCATTTGGGTATATAGCTTCTTTCTGCATCTTTGTAAACATCGTTTCTATCTTACAACCTGATTCCATGTCCACGAGTTGTAGAGTACAGCTTCGTCTGACTTAGTTACCTACATACCTTCCAACTTGTAGTATATACTTTATTTTTGCTACACCAATATTAGACTAATACTCTCTGTTTTCTTGTGTACTGCATTTTTCGATACGGGCCTTGTCCGTATTTTAATGTGTATGCTGCTCCACAGAATGGTATGTAATACTCTAATTGCATTGTGTTTCATGACGCTTTCTGCAGAGGTGCTTTGTTTATATATTGGCTCTATTCATCTTTTCAGGGTATTGATAGACAAGATGTCCGCATTGTGTGCCATTTCAACTTGCCTAAGTCAATGGAATCTTTCTACCAGGAGTCCGGACGTGCTGGTCGTGACCAACAGCCTTCCAGGAGTGTTTTGTATTATGGGTTAGAGGACCGAAGGAGAATGGTAATAAGCGTACATTATACACAGATGATTTTCCATCTTTTTTGAAAGGCAAAACTGAGGCTTCTCTGGTTTAACAGGAGTTTATTTTGAGAAACAGCAGCAGTAGAAAACAACAGCCATCTTCTTCTTCAACTGAGCTTTCAGAGAAGACCCTAGCCGACTTTAGTCAGGTAATTACCAAACATCGCAATGCATTGGTATAGTAGAACATGCAGTATATTTCATTCTATTATATTTCCCTCTCCTGACACAGATAGTTGATTATTGTGAGAGTTCTAGCTGCCGACGAAAAAAGATTATTGAGAGTTTTGGAGAAAAGGTATGGCATTGACTCCAAACATGTTACTGTTTTCTGCTTTGTGTTATTGCATGTTAATATTTGAACTGCATAGGTACAACCAACTTTATGCCAACGCACGTGCGATGCTTGCAAGCACCCAAATCAAGTGTCCTCGCGTTTGGAGGACCTTCGGCGTGTGCCCAACTGTCGCTTTAACAAGATATCTCCAGTCTTCAAAAGGTATGTGGTGTTCACTGTGCAGCAAGTCTTTGTTTCTTTTCCACAGTTTTGCTTATGAGATATGAATTGTACATATTCTGTGCTTTTGTATTAACTTGCGCCATATTGGTCTAGTAAAACTTCTCATTCGTGTGACAGCTCATCAGTTGACCCAAAACACTTTGACACGGAATTTTGGAACCGTGAAGATGACGTAAGCATATCAGACGAAGATATATCAGATTCTGATGGTAGAATGAACAATCATTTTCCTTTCCTCTCTGTGTTTGTAAGACTACGCAAAGTCATACTTGCATGTAGTGGAGTGCAGTAACATCTGCTGGGAATAATGAATCGCAGATGAGGAAGAGGCAGTGAGCAATATCGCCATTTCAAAGCTTCCATCAAAAGGAGGGTTTGAAGCAAGACTTGATGCCTTGGAGCGTGCTGAAAATGCTTACAATCAAGCCAATGGTCAAACTAAACCGCAGGTGATTTAGATGCCGCGTTTCTGTGATACTTCGTAAATGTTTGAGGATTTGAATTTGATAGAACTGTTTCCTCTTTATAGAAGTTGTGCTTGATCAAAAGTTATATGGTGTTGTCTGTGCAGCAAGTCTTGGTTTCATTCCTATAGAAATTTTCGATTTACAAAAGTATAATAGCTAATCTGAAACTTCAACTGGTGATGTAATAGGGTGGCAACCTTGTTGACAAGAAGAGCATATCTCAGACTCTAAGAGATGCAAGCAGGAAAAGATTGTCGGGTGCGCTTGGACAAGCAAAGCTCCGTCTTGGGGATCTGCTGTAAGTCTGCCCGCTCTGTCATGATTTTGTTGAACTATAAACATGTCTAATTTTTACTCATCTTTTTTTTCCACCACTCATTACATCGTGCACACTTTCAGGTTTGCTGAAGAGGCTTCTGCTACACACCTTGAAACCGAGTGCTTCAAGAAGTATCAGAAAGTGGGAAAGACGTTCTACAACTCCCAGATAGCTGCCACGGTTCGGTGGCTGTCGTCTTCAACTTCTGACCAAATCCACGGCCGACTTGAAGCCCTTACCAACCAGACTACAGAAGCTGGTGCAGCCACCAGCTCTCCTTGCATCATTTCTGATGCTTTGGGCAAAGCTGAAAAGCCAGCAGAAGCTACAGTAAGCCAAGAGCTCGCGAAAACCGAGCTTTCTGATGAGTTTGCAAAGACCATGGCTTCAACTGAAAACATGGAGCCTTCCCGGATGTCACCACCTGAGAAAACAATAGACGAAGAAGCGAGGAGAGATGGCGCGATCGGTACCATGGACCTTCCCAAGATACCATCATTCAGAGAATTCATGAGCCAGAAGGGAAGGGATCGCGCAACCAGTTCTTCTAGGGCAGAGAGCCAGCCTCGCGGCATTCCTAGAAAGGCTGGCCCTGTCATCAGCAAGGAAGGAACGACAGGAACATCAAAGAAGATGAAACTATGAGTGACTACTTCTCTGTTTTACATGCTGACTTCCTCCCAAAATTCCACAGTAGGAATATGACTAGAGTTTTTGCTGATACAGTAATCAAACACTGCAGTGCTGCTTCTCAATGAAAGATATCCTCTCTTAAAAGGAGAAGCTGCGAATCAAACTTTCACAGTAGGAATGTGACTAGAATTTTTGCTTACAGTAATCAAACACTGCTGCTTCTCAGTGAGGCCTTGTTCGGTTAAGCCACTCCCCAAGTGGATTGGAGTGGAATGGAGGGGATTTGGGGGAAATTTGAACTAGATGAGATTTAATCCCTGTCAATCCCTCTCATTTGTCATGAAACCGAACAATGCCTAAAAGATTTCCTCTAATAAGAGGAAAACATGAGAATATTTTGCAACTAATGCCTTGTGTATCTCAGTGAAAGATTTCCTCTCTCAAAGGAGAACGTGAGAACCTGTGAGAAGAGTTGTGCCAGATATCATATCTGAGAAAAGTTGTGACAAGCGTTGTTATATAGTTCCAGTAATGTTAGGTACACTTTATGGAACTAACACCCTATGTATGCCATCAGCTTTTACAACAGTTGAAGCTAACTGTGAGTATCTGGTTTGGACCAGCAAGCTGTATTGTATTGTTGTCAGGGCTACCACCTACAGAGCCAGGTCCTTCTCAAGCTCCGCAACCAACTGCTCGATGTTTCTTCTGTACATCGGCATGTAATGATCGTTGATCATCATCTTCGACAGCCTCAGCTTGCCATACAGAGATCTTGGCGTCAAGAAGATCCCTATGCTTGTCTCCGACTCCCCGGCAGCATCAACTTGGTGAAGGTCTGGCTCTTCATCCTCATGTTCGCTGGTCTCGTCGTCGTCTATGGCTGCTTCTCTTGTGGATGTTATTACGTGCATGATTTTCCCAGGTGGGTAGAATCTGTGGACCTCCTTCTCGTTGGGTTCACTGAGGACATCTTGAGCTCTGCCGCCAACTTCCTCGGCAATGTTACTTTCAGTCATCTCTTCCACTATGTCGTTCTCCCCTTCCCTTTTCCGGTACAGCTCGTTTTCGAGTTGTTGCCACAGCTCTACTTCGGTGATCCTGTCCTCATCCACGTGATGATCGATGATGTCTTCACCATCACTGTCTACCTTGTCATCCAAGGTACCAACAGCATCGGATGCCGAGATGGTGCTCTGGACCTCTTCTGATGCAGCATACTGCGTGGTTTCAGATGTAACTATCTCTGTGGTTTCCATCATGGTCTCAGTCAATAGTGAACTGGATTCAGAGCCACCGTTGGTAGTGGAAGTTGTTATTTCTTCTGATGTGACAATTGAGGTAGTATTCCGCCGCCTTGGCCCAATACAAGCCCATGAGGATAGTTGTAGCCCCGGTCTTGTCCATGCTGCTTGTGCTACACTGCGAGCTCTCCTCATTACAACCTGAACACACATTGCCAACATTGCTAGTCATGGATAATGCCAATGGATTTATGAATAACAATCAAAGCTGTGTTAAGGGGGTCAAATTAAAGATGAAAGGTACAAAACCTGTGTTCCATTAGATACAGGTCTTAGGATGGCACCAGCACCAGCTACTCTAGCTTTAGCATTTGCTATAGAAGGAAGTCGCGATCCCAAGGCAGATGCAGATCGATAGAAAGTGCTCAGGATTCTGGTTTGCTCGATTTGGTGACGGAGATCATTCAGCCAGGCAGATGCCGTCACCTGTTGCACATGAAACTTAATTTCAATACAAGAACCTATAATATAAAGTAATCATACTATATATTGCTAATTTTTTACACTATCATCAGCTGCACTGTTATCATGTGCTCATGTGTCCTTGTTTCCACAGATAAACCCGCTACCAGTTATAAAGATCTTACTGGTGCAAATAAGTTAATACGTACTCCCTCCGTCCCATAATGTAAGACGTTTTTTGACACTAGTGTACAGTTATGGCATTACTAACAAGGAAGGGTAAATAAAAGGGTACCTCTGAACGAAGATCATCTACTGCCGCCGCCGAAAATGTTGGCACCAAATCAGCACCATTGATGACTGTAGTGATAAAATGTACTCCTGACTCAGCCAGCTCCCATGTCATACAAGCAGCTGCAAAATAGAACATCCCACAAGGGCTAAATCACAACTATATTCTGAGGACAAGAAATCCAATCTTGTGAAAGGACTGGAGAAGTGGTCGACTTTTTGTTAGGAATAAGGAGAAAAATAAGCGATGTTCTTAGATCTGAATATCCAAGTCTGCATCAGGTATTTATATCGGAGAGGCCTGAGATCTAGGAGAGAGTATTTCTGGGAGAGCATCACTTATTTAAGCTATGGTCTGTACATAAGCTGGGGGAGAACTCAATTCTCAGACAAATACGGTGTACCTGGGATACTAGTCTGACAGTACCATTTACCTGAGATACTAGTCTGACAGTACCATTTTTAGGATAGCTTGAAATTATGGCAGTTCCTATTTTATGATCAACAAATTAATTTTGTCAACATCATATTTCCATCTAAAAGGTCGAGGAGTGGTACCACAGATACTTAGAAGATGGTGCATTGGGTATTTTTGTTGCCACAAAATATTTCGATGCTCATTTAATCCATGACCTAACCGATAGACTAAAAAAGGACCTAATAGTACAAGATTACAAGTACATTGGAGAACCCGAAGTAATGCTTGACCAACAAAATGCTCGACCAATGAAACAAAAAAGGATGCACATGATCTGATCTTCAGACAGAAAAACATCATAACATGCGAACCTGGAGCAAATGACACGCAAGTAGCGGAGGCAAACTCCTGCTGTTCCCTCAGGACGTATGTCAAGAGAGCTGCTGTACCACCTCCAAGTGAATGTCCAACAACCTAATAAATATTTACCAGAGACACAATCAATTAAAATGCTCCAAGAACCATATAAAACAACACAACACTACTAGCAAAGGATACAAGGAAAAGAAGGTACAAGATAAAAACACTGTACACTTGTGCCGTACCTTTATTTTATAATCTGGATACAAATGTAATGCTTCTGTGAGACAAGGAGTTGCAAGCTTTGCAATCCATCTAGCCGCTGCAACCATCCCAAAATGTGCATACCCTAAAACTAGATCACTAACACCACCTTCTTTGACTATTGTATGGTGGAACGGAACCACAGCACCCGTAGCAGCTGTCAGGGTATCCCTTATACTGTGGGTGCCTCTAATTAGTAGAAGTATACATTGTCTGTCTCTATCAAGTAAAATGGTGAAAGCTGGCTTCAAAATCTGCAAGTATCCCAACAAAAATCCTGAATCAGTCAACAGTAAACAGTTCTTGTGAATAACTACAGGATTACGAAATATAAAAATGATACTGTATAAATTTCACTTACCCCTGCTTTAGGTTCTTGCATAAGAACATCCTCCATGGAGTAGCCAGTAGCTTCCAAAAATAACGGGAATGGCTTTTTGGAAAAATGCCAACACAGTGTCAACAAATTCAAAAGATACCTCAAGTCCGTAACTACCGAAGCTCCTTTGAGCTCCACACTATCATCTCCAGCATATATGCTTGCAACAGATAAGTTCCCCTGAAACACACATGCCACAACTCATCTGTCAGGAACTTTGTTCAAGTCATTAACAGTTCAAAGTATTTGTCCTATGATTCTGGCCTATGAGTTTATCTGTTAAGGCCTCCTTTGGTTTGGAGGAATTTCATAGGAATTCTAGAGGATAGGATTCTTATAGGATTTTTTTCTTTAGAGCCCTTTGGTTCATAGGAATGGATTCCTATTCCTATATAGGATTGGTTCCTATCCTCCACATTTCATAGGAAAATAAAAATGAGCCTAGACTCAATGGAAAAATTCCTTTGGTGTCAACCAAATGACATCTTGTTTCCTATTTCTACTCATAGGATTTGAGATACATGTCATCTCATTTCCTACAAGATTCCTATTCCTACGATAATCCTATCCTATGAACCAAAAGAGGCCTAAGAAGTGCAGAACCTGCCCAACTTTAGCATAGATAGCATTGTAGGCAGAGTAATCTATTGAAAAAAAAAAAAGGGGTGAGTTACATACATAGAGTGAAATGGTAAGTGTGATAATCTAAATGAATGGTTCACTTAACAGATACTCCCTCCGTCCATAATATAAGATGTTATTACAGTCAATATAGGGGTATATTGGCTGTAAAAACATCTTAAATTATGGGACAGAGGGAGTACCTTATACAGTTTGTATGTACTAGAAATAATGAAGGTCGTTCATGCAGTTTCATGAGATATATTGTAGACAATCAAATATTGATAAACGATTATGTAAATGAATCTGAGAGCTGTTTAGGTCATCAGAACAACTATATGGTAAGACTAAGACAACTACTTTTGATAAAATAAGAAAAGAAGCGGTAAGAACAGATGATAGATATTAAGGAGTGTGATGCCTATGTTTTCAAGATTGTTTCAATTCCTACATGGCAACCCAACACTAAATTTAACCAGATGGAAAGACCTCCGGCGATGTTTATGATTTAAAACACTCCCTATCGGCTTCCAACATTTAAGTATCATAGTTAAGAAAGAGCAACGGATCACATCAACAGCAAAGTATGAGCGAGAGCGACCAACCTGTCTCTTGAGGAGGAAGCTGATTCCGAAAGCGAGGTCCCCGATGGGCCACTTCCCAAGGGTCTCAGAGTACGTGAACCGCAGCGTCTCCGACAGGGTCGAGATGGTCTCCAGCCACGTGGCGGGGGCGCGCACGTCCCTCCGCGACACCCGGCTCATGCTATGGGACTCCAGCGTGCCGCTGGCCGCCGCGTCCCTGCCATTCTCGCCGTCCGAGCCCCCTTCCCTGTCCAGCTTCTCCGTGTGCAGCCGGCGGTTCAGCGTGTAGTAGAGCAGCGCGGCGGCACCTGCAGCCGTCGCCATTGTGGCCGTTGCCATCGCACCGGCCCGCCTATAAACCCCACGCCGCTAGCTAGCGGGGAGGCCTG